GTTTCCCGCAATCCCAATCCCTACGAACTCACTGCAGCCCACAAGAAAACAGCTTTCTCCGCAAGAGCTTTCCCTCTGTTTTAGAGTTTTGTTTCAATGCCCCACCACCTCCCACTTGACACGTTCATGCCAGGCCAATCTGCCTGTATCCTGGCACAAAGGCAAAGCAGACAGACAGTGAGCACAGAGCCCTACTCCGGTATAACATACCTGCCTCCACTCTAGAATTACCCCAGGAAAAAGCACTGCCAAATGTTCAGATCTGCAGGGAGCCCGGACAACATAGCCAGATCTGATCTGCAGGCCAAGCATTGAACACCCCTGGTTTAATCCATGATCAAGCATGCCAGACTGTCCAATCATCCTTACAAACTATTGCTTGTAATGGTTTGATGCCAGCCTTGGCGAAAGAATGACCTCGTGAATGTTGGACCAAATACAGAAGAGCATCTTCTCTGGCAATCCACCCGGACCCAGGGCATCCCCAAAGAGCATGGGCTGAAGACCCACGCAGCGCAGGCAAGTTTAGCGAAGGTCCTTAACCAGCGCAGGGCTTTGATTTGAGGAGTTTCCAGTGAGCTGGACAAGGCCCGTTTTGCAAGCTCTGATGCAGTCATGGTAGGTTTGGGATCATGAGGACTTAGGAAAGTCCCAGTCCAGTGAGTGCCAAGTGCCTTCTCCAAGGGGCACAACCCCCTCTTCCTCCACTGATGTCTACGGCTCATTTTGTGACGCAGGGGTTCAAACAAGGGTGCCCGCACCAGTGTGCAAATGCACGCGCAGGTTGGCACACGCATTATATAGCGACTGCAATCAGTCCCTGCTACGCGTGTTCCCTGTGGCTCCACACAAATTGAAGCCTGCCACTGCACGTGCATTTTTGCCTGTACTCTCGTGCATGCCCTTTTCCAAAAACCCAGCCTGGTGACCCCTCCAACACAGGAAGCCTTTTCCCCACTGAGTGATGCCCGCCCGGTGCTACGTCAACCTATCACCCAGATCCTCAGATCAGTATGTGGCTGCCCAGGGGTTTCCCTTGTTGGATGGATGGTGCAGTTTCAGGGCAAGCGACGTACGTGATGAGATGGGCATTGTCGTGCTTCCTGCGTGCCAGCTGCTTGTGTCTCCATGCCAGGAAGGACCAAAGGGTGGAGAAGGGGTTCTCGGAGACGTCGCACTGATCCCGGTGGTTCCAGATGTCCAGCCCAACCAGGGCAACCCGAATGTTTAGGGCCTTGTAAAACTGCAAGAGGAAAGAGCTGATGACGTGGAGTTTTTGCCTCGTTTCCAACCAGGCATAGAAACCTCACTCCATATGGGACGCCTAGGCCAGAGAAGGGATGCTCTGGAGAAGCAGGTTGTACCTGAAGAGCTTGGCCTCTGGCTTCACCCCAGCCAACATGAACCCTTCTCAAAGCACTTCAGTAGGAGGATCTGCCACCAGCGCACTGTCCCCAGGGCTAAGGTGCAATAGAGGACACCTCCCGTTTTCCACCCTCCCACATTGCACAGGGGAGTCGTGGCGGAGACTCCTCCTTCCCAAGGATGGTCCATCCTGGATTGCAGGTTCTTCCCCCAGACCCGCGTTGATCCAGCCCGCCTCACCTTATCCACATAATTCGCCACCTCCACTAATCTGTTCCTTAAGTCCCCGTGGTACTTCTGAAACTGAACAAAATAGGAAGTCCATGTCATCCCCCAAGCAAGAGCTGGACGCGCGGTTAAGCAATGCTATCCTGCGACGACTGAGGTTGCTACCCCAATGCTTAGCTGGCCCATATATATACTCCCCCCTCCACCCCAATCTGTTAGACTGGCCATAATGTATGTTTTTTGGTCTTATAATTCTTCTCCATGCCTCAGCCTCCCCGCCAGCTGCTGACACACCACAATGATACTGGCATTAAACAAACACATCCACGGTCAGACCCTCGTTGACCAGATGTTCACATAACGGCCTGGCTAATTTGCCGTGTTGGACAGAAGGTGAAGTAGCTTCATGCCTCGAATCAGCACCACCAAAGCACTCGTCACAGAGGATTAATTACACCCCTCACTTCCCTGAGAGGCAGCATGGTTTGATTGCTCCATTTAAAGCAGTTTTGTTCCACTTGTCACATCTGGTCGATAAGGCGTTCATGTGGCAATGTTTAACTTCCTTAAAACAAGTTGCAAAAAGTCCTCTCACAAACAAAAAGGGGGCATGGAGCTCTCTCTGGAAAGGCAGGGCATTTTTCCCTTTAGATGTGGGTTGGGAGAAACCAGCACCAATCATTTCCATGGCTTCTAAACTGGCTCTGCAGCGAGAAGAGGATGAGGAACATCTGGCAGCGCCTGGATAAGCTGCACTTTCTCACAGTCTTTGCCCTCTCCCGGTGCCTCGCAGGAGAGAAACGCATAGGTTCTGCCTCTCTCATTTCACTCAAAATCAATTTGAGCCCCTGGCCCTGCAGGGCCTGCCTGCTCTATTTTAGGATCAAGTGGTAAATTATGAATGGGGTTGGCCTCCCCTACTCCGTTCTGGAGCATGAACTGATTAGCCTGGTTTTAAACAGCCTTGGCAGGAAGGTTAGATTTCCAGCCTCCCAAGCTTTCTTCCAGCCAGCCCTAAACAACAACGGAGACAACAGCTGATAACTCAAACTGCTTTTGGGATGCCACGGGCCGGACTGTCAGCTGGCTCAAGTACCGCACGCATCTCTTACCTCTGCATAATCCGCCACCAGCAGAAGCTCCACGTACTTCATAGGCTCCGGAGCCGCCCGCCTGGCCTGAGCAGGAGCACGGAGGATTAGTTCCAGCCTCTCCCGGGAAGCACGAGGGATTTTTCACCCTGTTTGAAACCTGTTTTTCTGGGGCCAGTTTCCTCGTGGACCCTCCCCCTTCATCCCACACTGACACCGGCTTGTTCTCAAGAAGTGGCCCGAGCTGCTTATTTCTACCCTCCCAGTCCCACCCCAAAAGTACCCCCATTGCCTCTTCCTGAAGAAAGGTGCTTGCACCCCAAAGCTTGCAAAGAACAATTTTTCCAACTATTAATTCATCTAATAGGGCACCTGTACACACCTTGGGGTTTAATCCTCATTAAATTAGATAGGTTTATAAAATTTAAACTTGTTTACTTTGGAGCGTCGCAGCAGTGTTTGCACATACTAGATTTTCAAAGGAATTAAGCCTGGTCCCCGGCTGGTGCCTCAGAAGAGCGGGGAGGTCCAGCGCTGTGCCCCGCCCCCTGCCCCCAACCCAGGATCCCCCACCCCATGTCTTGCCACACAGCTGTAAAAGCAGGGAGCCGACAAATGGCACAAGAAAAAAAAAGCAGAAGCAATTAGAAAGTGGAAGCAATTTGAAGGGGTGAACTACAAAAAAGTCACAGCACCATGTGGTGGACAAACAGGCTTATTACATGTTTTTGAGTGCCTTTGTGTTTGTATGCAATGAATCCAGGGATGCAATGCTTTAATTCTCAGCGAGCCAAACTAAACTACGTCCGAGGAGTTTTACTTTAATACACCAGAAAGACTTTTGAAGCATCCAGAAAACCCGCTCCTGCAAACAGTCATGCTACTGCAGCACAAGAAAGGGCAAAAAAACATAGTGTGTACAAACGCCCATAAAAGATATCACGTCTACCCAAAGAACCTCATCTGCCTGCATCCTTAGACCAACATGGCTACAACCAACTCCACCTTGCTTCTGCTTCCTCAGGTCTGCCCTACGGAGATGGCAGGACAATACGAGAGTCCTCTTGGTGCACAACTCACCCGGTGAAGGGTCACATTCAGCGGCCTCACAAACTCCTGGAGCCGGCGTCTGTCTGTGGGCTCAGCGTGCTGGTACCCACAGGACCCAGGTGGGACCTTCAGGTGCTCCAATCTGTAGACCCAGTGCTGCTCCCGGCTCTCAGGAACGGGCTCAATGACATAGCTGAGGTTGGGGCTGAGGACGATCAGACCTCTGCAAACAGGGGAGAGGAAGAGAGGCCTAAACATTCGTGCATTTACTTGCAAGACCATAGTTCAAGGAAAAGAACAGGAGCAAGGAACAAAAAGGTAATCCTTGGTGGTTTTTGCTGTGACCTAGACCCACACAAGGCTCTGCACTTTCATTCAGGCCATGGGAAGCAAATAAATCCTGGGACAATTTTCAATTGACAGGTCACGTCTAGTTTCTTTCCCATTTCTCCTCACCAAAAAGGTCTATTGTGTTCACTGGTCAACAGACAAGCACCGTCCCTCCCATGCCTCTGAAGCACAGCCACGGAGGGGCTGGGCATGCCCAAGGCATCCAAAGGAAACCCTAGACCACCTAGAAGAGATGGGCACCTAATTCTCTTAGACCGCTGTAGAAACTCCAGCTCAGGTGATTAATAATTTGTCTGTAATGTGCACCAGTGATTTAGGTCTTTTCATTCAGAGACCCCAGAGCACTTGAGCTAAAAACAGATTTTTGTCAGATCTTTCCAGGGGATAAAGCCTTTTATTCTGGGATCTTACAGGACCCATAAAATGCCGGTAAAGTCCCAAGATAACACCCACCCCTAACAAGAGGGGGTGCTAATTCCAGTTGCCTGCCATTCAAACTGTGGACGTGACTGTCCTGGGATAAACTCAGCATCTGTTTTTAGCCTTAGAAATGGGGGCAAGGCTTACTACCCACATGGCACGTGGAGCACTTCCCTGGTGTGGTATTTTGGGGGTGTTTTTTTGTTTTGCACACACTTGAATCTCACCCTGATTGCACAGATGGAGAAGCCTCAGCTCGGCTGCCGCTGCCAGCACCGAACGAACAGAGCTCCAAGGAGGCCAAGAGATCCTATTTTTATCTCCTTTGCGCAGGTTTCATCTCACGTCAGTCCCAGGAGACTGCAGGGCTTTGCAGGGATGAAAACGAATGCCAGGGAGCGACAGATTCTTACCGGGGCCTCTGCAAAGATTCGCCTGCTCCCAGGTGCCCAGGCTGCTCTGACCCAGGCCCCTTCCAGCCATTTATCCCACCTGAGCTCCCCTGCCTGGCCTGACTCAGGAGACGAAACACAGCATCATATTTAGCAGGGCAAGGGGCTGATAGGACAGAGCTGCAAGGGAACCATAAATAATGACTCAGGCCAAGTAAGGCTCTTTCCTCGGGATCTGCAATTGCACTCAGAGCGCGGTCCCCGAGGAGGGAGCTGGCCAGGCTCTCTCGGTTGCACAGGTTATAAACCTGCTCTTTCAATTTGATGGCTGCTGGCTGCAGCAAGATGTCCAGGGACTAGGGAAACACGTGGCAGCGTCACTTGGGCGTGCGTGCAGGAAGGCTCTTCCTTCCTCCACATGGCTGTGGCCCCGTTCGGATGAAGGGGGCTGCCCCAAGGAGAGCAGGGGATGGTCCTGTTGCTGTCAGGGATCAGGCAGGGCATGCGCAGAACCCACCGAGAGCTGTACTGCTGGGTTTGCTCCTCACGGAAAGGTTTCCTCATTACCTCCTTGCCTTCCTGGCCCAGAAGCTCCACTTGGACCGATACAGCAGTTTCCCATGCAGGCATCTATTACTGTGGGGTCTCTGGACTCTGTGGCCCTGATCCTGCAACAATCAACCATAAGCATACAAAGGGTCCCGTGCCCTCCAAAGCCATGGGCTGATGGGAGCGTGTTTCCTACGTAGGCCATGTGGTTCACTCCAATGATATTTAATATGCACCTGAGTGGGGACAACTCTGCACTTAACAGGGTTTGTGCCTGCCTGGCCCAGTGGAAGATGTACGACTTTGCAGATAGGATGCCTCCCCTGGGACCTGAGCGTGCAAAGTGAGAACAGATGCATGCTCTGGTTGCTACGTACACCCAGTCGAAGGGTCTCAAACCATTCCTCCAGCATCCACGCAGCCCAGATGTTCAACAAGCCATCATCGTCTCCTCCGCCCCATGGGAGAACGGGGGCTAAACCAGGTGCCAGGCACAACACCTGCGCTTCCTGCTGCGGATTAGTTACTGCAAACCCCAGGTGGCCACGCTGCGCCCTGTTTATACCCCCAGAGAGTCTGTCTATATTAAAATCGCTTGAGGTCATTGAGGTTTTTTTGGCAAGGTCTGCTGTTTCCCGGTTGGCCTCGATCCCACCAGCTTTCAACCGGCTTTTGAATGGAGCCAACCACAAACGGTCAGCGTCCTGTTTACAAACAGATGCGAAGTCTCCAAACTGAGCACGACAAAGCTGCGTGCGGCACTCGGGGCCCAGATCCCAGCTGGTGCCCATTGTGAATGGGACTCCATTGTCTTCAGGGGAGGCACCGCTGATTTACACCGCCTGGAAACACAGCTCTTCTTTTGTTCCCCCCAGGACTCCAGATGCTACAATGAAGGTGAGGTTTTAAAGGCACAGACTCAGCCTGGGACCAGGCCGGCTGGTACAAAGAGCCAGCGGAGCTCACCGCCTTGGAGGAAGCTCGTGCTGTGCTGCATGGATGCAATTGCTTCCTTACCCATCCCTGAAGGTGCAGAATGCCTTGGCGAGAAATTCATTACTGTGATGACTACTCTGAGCACCCGCGATGGTGTTGGCTGTGATACCCAGAGGCCCTGCTCTCAGGTGCCTCATCCAAACAGCAAAGCCAAGAGCAAAAGGACTATAGAGCAGGATCTGTTTCCAATGAACAGGCAACCTCATCCAAGTGCCGGCAGTATGAGTCTAGCACCCCAGCTCACCCGTGCAAGCTCAGAGGACAGTGTCTCTAGAGGACGGACCCTGCACTGTGCAGGGGTGGAAAGCTGCATACGACGGTGCTGAGACGCAGGGACCTTAGCCACGTTCACAGCAGCACCGCCGGCATCGTGCCAAAGACGGGTCATAGCTACAGCTCGTTAAGTGCTGCAGGCTGCACTTCACATGTGGTTCATCTCCCAATACAGCCATGAGCCAAGCTCCAGGTAGCAGGACAGGACCCCCTTGTCTATGTAGGACCTGCAAGGCAGTGTGGCTAAGCAGGGACCGGGGACCAGGGCTCTATTCACAGGTTTTCTGGGTGACCCTGGGAGCCCGAGGGCTGCACGAGGGGCCTGCCCTGAGGCCACCGGAAGGGACTGATACGAGGGGCCGTCAGACTTACCGCAGCCCCGTGCACGTGCTGAGCGCGACGCTGGATTGTCCCACGCCTCGGACGGCGCCGTGGTAGAAGCAATGGTCCTGGAAGGAAAAGAGGAGATAGTCAAGGGGGGCTCAGCTCAGGGACTTCTGGTGCTGGGGGTGGCTGGGCAGAAAGCACCCGCTGCCCTCAGGACCCAGCATCACCGATCCCAGCTTCAACCCTCTCCACAACGGTCCCTGCCACACCTCAGACAGCCAGGAGTTATCACAAAGAAAAAGCCCGGGGGCATGTTGAGTCCAAGCCAGCCTCTCCGCTCGGCCCTGGGCCTTTGCATGAACACGCTTTGGACTAATAAAATCAATGGTGCTTTAAGGCTCCCAGCGGCTGCAGCGCTCAGAGCCCCATCCCAAGCTTCCCGAGATCAATGGGCGTCTGTCTATCGGCGAGTCAGGAAGGGTGATCTCATGGATTTTTTCTCTTTTATTTTTAAGTCCAATGCACATCTTTGTGCCACTGCGGCAAAACGGCAGCAGGGCCCTGAGATCAGTAATTCACAGGGATGGTTGTGAACGCGAGCCAGCTGGCACGGCCTCGCCTTGCAGGAGGTGGCGGGAGCGGAGCTCCCCCCGAGCCAAGGGCAGGCTCGATGGCACAGGGGGGAACCCCAGCCAGCTGCAGAGTCAACCCGCACATCTGGCTGCAGCCTTGGCAGATTCCACAGGTCGTCCCCTAGCATTTCCCCCCAGGCCGCGCCCATCTTCCAGCCCAAGCCAGTTGCAAACTCAGGTCCCCGGAGAATGGAGCCTGGTGACTTCTCCGCTCCCTCTCCCTGGACTTCACCTACACGCTTCACTCGCTCCCTGGACTTCACCCACAGCCTGGGCACGTACCGTGCGGTTCAAAGTGACGGTCTGGGGCACTCCAGCCGGGGTGTAATGGGTTTCGGTGTAGCCTGGTGCAAAGAGGTGCCTGCCAATAGCAAAACAAAGACACAAACAGAAGGGATCTCTTGAGCCTTGGCATATCGCGACCCCACCGGCTCTTCTGTGCTGGGATATCAGGCACCAGCCTCCACCGACTGCTCTGGAAGTCGAAAAACGTCCTATAGGCATTGCACCAGGCTCCAAGGCATTTAGCGCGCTAGCTCTTTGCAGCCAGGAGTGCATACACAACCCGGCATCAATCAGAGCCTCATCCCGACCCATGTTATATGCTGCTCCTCCCTGCACAGAGGGGGCTTCATGGAGAGACGGGCAGGAGTTCAAGGTGTGATGGACATGGATGCATGCGCTCACCCACCCAGAGATGATGCATTCAGAGGACCTTTATCTCATGAAACGCACTCTGCTGTGAAAGCGCTGGACCAGTCATCCTCCTAAGTGCTCTTTCAAGCCATTTATTTAATGACATGAAGATAACACAGAAAAGCCAGGCTCCACCGCAGAACAACCCCCACCAGAGCTAAATCCTTTATTGTGGTGCAGTCAGATTCTTCCTCCCCCTCCCACCCCCCACACACACACACACACTTCCTGCCTTATTTCAGTTCATTCATAAATCTTCTCCATTGTTTCAACACATGGTAAAGTGCAAAATTGAAATAAAAAACGCTGCAAAATGACACTGAAGCACAAACCGAGTGTCTCCGGAGCATTGGGACCCAGAGTTTGGGGTCAGTTTGCAGCTTGGGGGCAAGGCAAAAGCAGTGAATCCTGGACCCAAATACTGAGGCAGATTCCCCTGACGCTCGGGGCCATTCGTGTCCGGATGCTGCTACCAGCCTATTTCTGTCCCTGCTCCTGCTGCTGTCCTGAGGACGGAAGCAGGCAATGCTGCTGTGTAGCTCTCATGACCGTTTTTTGTCCTCGGAAAACTCTGGCAACCTGTCTAGGCCCTGATCTCATTCTCTTGATGTAGGCAACATTCCCCATCACATCAGCCAGGTGCTCAGGATTGGCCCAGGGGCTGTCAGAGGCAGCCCCATGCATGTTGTCGGCAGCATTTTGATTCAGCTCCAGGGGCGATGCCTCCTCCTCCTCCTCCTCCTCCACTAGACTGCTGATCTTGCAAAACGAGGAGATGCATATGCCCACAAATCAAGGCAGGGATAGACCTGAGAAGGTCACCGCACGTCTCCATCTCAGCAGCGTGCAAGCAGGAGGGAGCTCAGCCTAAAGCCATCGCCTCCTCTCCCAACCCCTGTAAAAGGATCGTGCTGAATAATCCCTCTATGGAGGATATTTATAAAGCAACACTGCCATCCTCTCTGCTATTTAGGCATCGCACTTGGCCCCTCTCGAGGATGCCATACTTGGGTGTTGCAATGACTTCCCTCCTCGCCGGCTCCTACCCTGCCCCTTCTCGTCACGGTTTGCTACACTGCACATTTCTAAAACGGGGCCTGCAAAACAGTGGGCTTGTGTCCTTCTTGGAGAGGTTCCCCCCACTTTATAAAGACGGCCTGGTGAGCTTGGTAGTTTGGCTCCTGTAACAAAACAAACAGGGTTTTTTTAGATAAGATAACTGGAAGTCTTGATGGTTGAATGGGGAATTAGCCTGTTTGTCACGCCAGAGATGCCAAGGAAGTGAAGCCTGATGGATGGAGAAGGGAAGGGGGTTTTATCCAGGCTATTTAAAATGCTTTCCCCCATCCTACATCAAACTCCAATCTTCTGAGGATAGCACTAGCTCTCTTCCTTATCACCCTGCTTCTACTAAAGGAGAGCACAGACCCAGCCAACATCTGAGTCACCTAAAAATGTCTTCAGTAAAACCCGAGCAAAAGTTTGCCCCCAGTCTCTGATATTCATAAGGCAAAAAAAAAACAGACAAAAATATTCAGAGGGACAGGGGGGAACTTCCCAAATCTCCATGCATTTGCATTTTCACAGACCTGCATTTGGCATATTAGCTTCTATTCCACCCAGGAGAGCACACCAACACCAAGAGACTCTGCCTGAAGAAGGGTGTTTGTACCCAAAAGCTTGCAAAGAACAACCTTTCCAACTTTTTAGTTGGTCTAATACAAGATATCACATCTACCCAATGAACCTTGTCTGCCAATTTTCTTTAGCACATCAGACAGAGGCTAAAAAGGGAACAAGCCCCAGCTTCTGTTCCTCTTGTGCAGGGCACCTTGAAGAGAGAGGGCCACACGTGCTTCGGCCCAGGTTGCATTTCCTTGCTTGCTCTGACAGTAAACCGCACTCTTGGAAGTGACTGGCAAGTGTTTCATCTCCTAAGACAGCCCTTTCCTCATTCCCAGGCTGCAACTCAAGATGTTTTGCATGGTGCAGACAGAGCTCCCAGCAGATAATGGTTCTTTTCAAGCGGGGAGAATAGGAAGCTGGGGTTTGGAGATGTGCCATTTGATCCCAATTGACATCTGGAAGTGCCGGCTTTCATCTCGGCTTTCAGACTCCAGCAAAGCTCCTTTCTGATGTGCTAATGCTCATCACCGGATCCCCTGCTCGGGGCGTAGGATGCAATGCTGCTGTTATCAAGCCTTTCACATCCATAAACAGCTGATCATAGAAACACCATGTGGCAGACAGACAAGGTTTCCCTATAATCACCTCCCTATCAGACCTTGTGATGACCTCCCTATCAGAGCTGGTTCAGAGTGAATCTGCAGAAACAAATGTTTAATCAACAAATTGCATCAACTGCCAGGAAATTGCCTTGAGCAACGAGCTGGCAGGAGGGTCTGGGCTGTGCCAAAGTCTCTGCTTAGAAGGCAGGACCTCACGTCGAGTAGTGAAAGAACAGGATGTCTAATGCCAGCACCAAAGGACAGCCTGTATTTACTGGCTGGCATTGCACCCCCTGATATCAGAAGGTAGCATGCCAAAAAAAAAAGGATCAAGCAGATGGAAGACCCCAGGCATCCCCTGTAGGATCACACAGAAGGAGCCAAACATGAAAGAGTTTTGTGGCCAGTGTTGTGCCGTTGGACACGACGGCTAACAGGTTAGCTAACAGCTAATGGCCAAGGTTATGGAAGGGAAGGGAAGGTTACGTGCAACCCCAAAAGGACCTTCCAAGAGGCGTGGATCTTGACTGGCCAATATTGCAAAGCCTGAATCACCTGCGCATGCCAACGGGAAGATCAAAAACAAACATGATCCCCTGGGGCTACTCTAAGGGCACGGATACATGCACGTGAAGTGCGGACGATGGAGCTCGTGCTCGTTTCTCAACTCCCTGGTGAGACCTGTATGGAGGAGGGCCTCGCTGCAGCAATGAAAGAGCCATTGCTTGTGCACGAGTCTGGAAAAACATCTAGTTTATGACAAAGACACAAGAAGAAGAACCGAGGGTGGATCCACACAGCCCTCCTGAAGCCAGGAGACAAGATACACAGGTGCTAGGTCTGATCCCAACACCGGCTGAGGGTCTGGCCTTTACTGCCCACTTGGGTGTTCAAAACTGCCCCTTCCTGCCTCCATCCCAGCTGCCCCGCACTAGGAGCTCCCCATAAACCTCCACAACCCCCCCCCCACCCCTTATAACAGGTGTAGCATTCGCAAAACCCCTGAAAGCAAGCAGGCAGCCACTGCCTACTCCCCAACCATCCTTTGCCCTTGTCCTCTCAACCTCTTCTCTCTTAGCATCATAGAAAAGGAGGGTTGAAGGGAGCTCAGGAGGTCACATCCAGTGCAACCCCCTGCTCCAAGCAGGACCAGCCCCAACTACAGCATCCCAGCTAAGGCTTTGTCCACCCAGGTCTTCAAAACCTCCCAGGATGGAGACTGCACCACCTCTCTGGGTACCTGTTCCAGTGCTTCACTACCATCCCAGTGAGAAAGTTGTTCCTAATATCCAACCTCAACTTCCCTTGCTGCAGCTTCAGCCCATTGCTCCTTGTCCTGTCATCTGCCCCACACTGAGACTATATAAATTAATTATTTACAAGAAATAATGGCCACAAGCTAGCAGAGAGCAGATTTAGACTGGACATTAGGAAGAACTTCTTCACAGTTCGAGTGGCCAAGGTCTGGAACGGGCTCCCAAGGGAGGTGGTGCTCCCCCCTACCCTGGGGGTCTTCAAGAGGAGGTTGGATATGCATCTAGCTGGGGTCATCTAGCCCCAGCACTCTTCCCTGCCTATGCAGGGGGTCGGACTGGATGATCTATTGAGGTCCCTTCCGACCCTAACATCTATGAATCTATGAGATCAGTCCAGCTCCATCCTCTTTGCAACCCTCCTTTTCTTATCCTTGGACCACAAGCCTGTCGAGGCAGGGACTGACTGTCCTCGGGCAGCACCCACCCTCACGGGGTGCTGGGCTATGACTGGTGGTCCTAGCACTGCAGAAAAACAATGAGTAGAAAATGATGGTAATCGCTAACAAAGTCACACTGGTTTGCACCAAGGGGTGGATATTGGTGGGAGCAGCACAGTTAAAGCTAGGGGCTTGTGCTGGGAATAACCTCCTATTCCATCTTGCAGGGTCAGAGTAGAAACAAACACACGGAGGATGTTTGCTAGTCCCCAGAAGACTATCTGACTTCATTTAGTATCTGATGCACTTTGCAGCTTCCTTCTCTCACCCTCAGAGTAGCGTGCCATGGGAAGTTGCTTAGATATCTCTTGTTCTCATCTCTTGGCCCACAGGAAATATTGCAATGCTTCTCAGTTTGCTGCAACCCCCACCTGAAAAGGGAACGCTCTGCTGCTGGCACTGGGCTCTTTCCCAGCGGGTCTCTACAGGGCAACTGCCCTAAGCACGCACACGCCGGAGGTTACATGACGGGCTCCAGCAATGACTCAAGTGCTCAGTGAATCAGAGAATCCTAGAAGTCGGGTCGGACGGGACCTTGTAGATCTTCAGGTCCGACCCCCTGGCTGAGCAGGAGAGAAACTGGGCTCAAGTGACCCCAGCCATGTAGGCATTGAGCTGCTTCTTAAAGACCCCCAGGGTAGGAGCCAGCACCACTTCCCTTGGAAGTCAGTCCCAGATCCTAGCCGCCCTGACTGTGAAGTAGTTCCTACAGATGTCTAATATGAACCTACCCTCCAACAACTTGTGGCCGTTATCCCTTGTTATCCCGGGGGGCGCTGGGGGAAACAAGGTCTCCCCCAAACCCTGCTGGTCCCTCCTAGTGAGTTTATAGACAGTCACCAGGTCCCCCCTCAGCCTTCTCTTGTGAAGGCTGAACAGGTTCAGGTCCCGTAGCCTCTCATTGTAGGGCCTGCCCTGCTGTCCCCTGACCATGCGGGTGGCCTTCTCTGGACCCTCTCAATGTTGTCCACATCCCTCTTGAAGTGGGGTGCCCAGAACTGGACGCAGTACTCCAGCTGTGGCCTGACCAGTGTCACATAGAGGGGGAGGATCACCTCCTTGGCCCTACTTGAGATGCACCTGTGGATGCACGATAGGGTCCGGTTAGCCCTGCCGACCGTGACCTCGCACTGTCAGCCCATGTTCATCTTGGAGTCAGTAATGACTCCAAGATCCCTTCCTGCCTCCGTGCTCTCAAGAAGGGAGTTTCCCATCTTATAAGTGTGTT